AGTGGGGGGGGGTCGCCCGGGGGGCCGCGGGGGTTAGGGCCCGGGGCCGGGGCCGGGGGGGGTAAAATTGGGGGGGCCGGGCAAAGGGGTTCCCTTTCCCGTTAATGAGGGGCCCGAAAGGGAACCAGGGCCGGGGGGGGGTTTGTTTTTGTAGGGGGGGCTCCAGGGGGGAAATGATTTTTTTTGGGGTTGGTTTTTTTTGTTAAATTTTTCCCAAGTGGGGGGGGGGTTTGGGGCGGAAAAAGGGGGCGGGGGGTCCGTTTTCCCCCCCCCCCTTGGAGGGGGGGGGGGGGGGGGGAGGCATGCTCTGGTTTTGGTCAAAGGTCCTGTCACATTTTGAATTGTTCGTCGCCACGCCCCGGCCCCTCGCGATGTTTTGTGTAGCCCCCCGCGATGTTTTGTGTAAATCCGGACTGGCTGCCGAGGGGTTGGTTGGAGATCGGGAGGTTTTGTGTGTGGTGGGTGAGGCGGAAGGCGGAAGGCTACGTTGGTATCCACAAGTGGGTTGGTTTGTAAGTTTGTTCGTCCTTAACTACGCGCCGATTGCTGTCGTTGAGAGAGAGACAGAGGTACAACACGACCCAAGACGGGGGAGATGACGACCCCCCCCCTCCCTGCCCACCCTTGCCCTGGGAAAGAGGGACAAGGTTGTAGTTTTGGCCCTACAACGTTGCTAGGTTAGAAAGAGGCGAAAGCACATGTCAGCCTTGTCCTGGTCGTTAGGTAGGTATCGACAATCGATCATTGCAACGCGCCGTTTGACCACTCCTCTGCCTCAGGCGTTGTGTGTACCAACATCCAATGCCGATCTACTAAACGCCTACGTGCGCGCCTCTCGAAGACCACTTTACCCCCCTCCTGACCCCCCTCCACCCACCCATCCCGCCGGGACCGCTGGGGACACACGGACCGCACGGAAAAATCGAACCAGATCTTGTTCCGGCAGGGGCCGTTGGAGTACTCCCAACTGCAGCGAATCAGCTTCCGCGGAGACGTGGGCGGGGTAGCGCTACGGGGAGTTGCAGGAGAGGAAGAGGCGTGGTTGAAGGGGGACAGAGAAGAGTGGCTGGACCATTTGTTGTCGGTCCTGCTACCGCTGGTGGAGTACGTCGAGACGAAGCAGAGCTTGCAGATGAAGAGCACGAGAGCACCACCGCCAAAATTTGTCGCCTGATACTGTTGGGGGGGGTCGAGCGAGATAATTTGTTTCTTCTCTCATCGATTTGCTTTTTTATTTTATTTTTTTTGGTAGGCGTGCGTTTCTTTTTTTCCCTCATCGGGAGAGAAACGTTCTGACCGGGGGAGTTTTCAGTACGAGTCTCTTCATGGATGTTAGATAGATGGTATCCTGCTGCTGCTGCTGCTGCTGCTGCTGCTTGATTTGTGGCTGTATGCATAACAGCGACGGGCTGCTTCCTAATTTGATGATGTGACGTGACACGGCGTAAATTGCGTTTTGTAGAGACGACGGCGACGTGCGGTAGTTGATACCTCCGTGCGCGTGTCGCGAGACAGACGCCGTCGCGATCGCCATTGCACACACGCGTCAGGCGTTTGTATGTTTCCTCTCGGAATTGGGAGAAAAAAAATCAAGACGAACCAATAATCCTTCCACCGTGTCAAGACGAATCGATGATTGTCTCATTTGTTTTGGACACCAAGTGCCATCCCTGGAGCTCCTCCGCCTTGCGACCGTGTTTGCTGCAAACAGCTCACAGCTGAATCGCACCGTCTGCGTGCCAATTACTCCGTAGAGAGAAGTACTTCGAAGTAGCTTCTTAGCAGCGCAACCAAACGCACCGCCCCGGTCCTCAACTCAGAGACAGCGCGGCGCCAGGCGGGTACTTCGGGCGTAACTCCACGGGGATATTTGTGCCAACTGCTGTGTTTTCGCTCGATCAACGCCAACTTGTGAGCCCGCCAAGGCATGCTTTGCTTGCGCGGAAAAGAGTTGATCGAGACATGTGGGAAAGCGCACCAGCTTCGCCAGCCTATCCTTCCGGCTGTTCACCGCGTGTGCGTCATTGTGAAGCCGGGTACGGTCACACAAGGAACAGTGGCTGTTGGTTCAGTTGGTAAGGTCGTAAATATTCTTTTCGGCTCTGTCAGGGTGTGCGTGGGGGCTCTCATCTATCCGGAGCGACAAGCAAAACACAAAGGGAAAGCAAGTAAAAAGCGCGTATGCACAGTCGCAAGAAGAGCACACACGACAATGACGGAAAGGGGGAACTGTTGGATGAAGCCTTCTCGCATTTTAACTTGAAGGCAAGAACCGCCAGAGAGGAAAGGTGGAGAGATCCTCTTGCATCGGAGATCAAATCTGAGTCACAAGGTGTTGACCGGTGCCCAGAACACGTGGGGCCAAAATAGCAAAATGCGACCACCACTCCTTTTAACGTTACCGTCGTGCACGCTCGGGCGGGCAGGGGGGGCTCCGTTCGACCGAACAGAAACCAGCAACAATGCAACCCCCTCCCCGCTGTTCATACTCCGTCCTCTCGAGGGCGCATGGTCAATGGTCCAACCGCGAAGGCATGCAAAACATTGAGAGTACGCCCCATTCCGCATGAACACCTCGCGTCATCCCCGTGCGGCCGCCCCCCCCCCTCGCCTGCGCAATGCCCGTTCCTCCCGAGAGCTACTCCTACATGCCGCACTCGAGTCTCCACCAACCGGCAACCTTCTTCGTGCTCCGCCACCACCGCTGACTTTCGAAGAAGCGGCGGCTCCGCGTGCCTTGGTCGGCGCACCGGACGAGGCATCGCTACCGCGGCGGCGGCGTTGACGGCCGGAGTCCCCGCCCCCCCTCGTCCTCTTGGCTGCCGTCGGCAGCGGGCCATCTTCCTCCGCTACTAGCACTGTCCTCCGGCGTCTCTTGTTGTTGGTGCTCGAGGCCGTTGTTGTGGCGGCGGGTTCGCCGGCGCCGAGGGCGTCGCCGCCGGTAGTAACGCCTCCTTCGTCCGACGACCGGCGGCGCTCTTTGGCGAAACGGCAATAAGCGGCGAGATTACGATCAAGCGAACCGCGCCTACCGCCGCCGCCGCTGCGGACTTTCTTCTTCTGGCTGGCGCCTCCGTCGTTGCCGCAGGGCGCCTGTGCGGCTTCTCGACCGCAGAGAGCAGCGGCCGCGGTGGTGGCGGCGGCGGCGGTGGCGGCGGCATCGATTACCTGGTTCCCCGGTCGGTGGTTACCGAGACAGAAAATCTGCCAAGAGTCGGAGGCGAAGCGGCCGCACCCGTGGAGCTCGGAAGGGTCGTGCCAGGCCGACGCGAGAAAGCCTTCGGCGAAGCGCTTTATTATCAACTCCCTGCCGAGGGCGGTTGGGGAGGGGGCACCGTGGAGGAACTTTTGAGACGATGGAGACAACGAAACGGAAAACTAACGGAAACACAGGACGAAAAGGAGGGCCAGAATGAACGAAGCAACATGCGAGGGGGGGTGGAGGAGACGGCGCTGAGGGAGAGAGAGAGAGACAGAGAGAGAGAGACACACACACAGAGAGAGAGGCAGACAGACAGACAGACAGAGAGGTAGGTAGGTAGGTAGGTAGGTAGAGACAGACAGATAGACAGATAGATAGACAGACAGATAGACAGACACAGAGACGGAGAAACACAGACAAACAAACAGAGGCGGGGAGTGGCGGCGTTACCTGTTGAGCCCGAGCGGCAGCAGCGTCTTGCGGAGATCCCCCAGGTCCGCGGCCAGAACGCTGGTGGGGGTGGGACAAGCCTCGAAAAATGCTTTAACCGCGTCTTTCACGGTGTCCCCCCCGCTGGTGCGGGAGCAAAGGATGCAGCATGACAAGAGGTGGTATGCGTCCTTCGCGTAATGCTCCTGATATGAGGATCGAATGTGCGCAGCAACCGTGGCCAACAAAAAGTGGTCAGCCTTTGTAGGAGTTTGATTTTTTGCATCGAGTCGCACGCGGAAAACTTTAAATACGAGCCCACGACTAACTGTTTATACAAGACAAAATCAAACCAGTGGACTCTCTTGTCAGCGATGACTATGCAGTCTATGATGGTTTCGGCCACATTAGCATTCGCGCTGCACGCTCGCTATGCCCAAACTCTCACGAAAACGCCTAGCCGGTGGGCGGGCCACGTGTGCACCTGGAGGAGATTGAGCGGAGAAGGCCGAGCTGCGCGGTGGCCCACGCGCCTCAAGTAGAACGCTAGCCAATCAGCGCCGCCACCACCGCCACTATCGCTTCTTCCTTCTTCTTCGTCCGGGGAGTGGTTGTTGTTGTTGCCTGTGGTGTGAGGCTTGTCGCCGCTCCTAACATCATCACCGTCCCCGTTATCGGCGGCGTAGCTGTTGCGGGCGCCAGCACCGGTACCGCCGTGGTGGTGGTCGAAGTCGGACCCGTCTGCGGCGGCGCGGGGGAGTTTCGTCCCGGCAGCGGCGACGGCGTACTGGCAGCGGCAGCCCTCCCCCCACCGCGCAACGCTCATGGCTTGGAAGTGCTTCCGCGCCAAAGGTCCCACCAGGGTTGCCCGAATGCACCTTCGCGGCACATATCCGCGGGAAATTTCCAGCGGGGTGTCGGGGTTTTTAAGTTGTGCAAGTACCATGTTCTGGTCTAATGCTCGCCTGTAAAAATATTGCCACCAGGTAGGTTACCATAGGTGTCACGACGTAAGGTATCGCACACCCTGGGGTCGATTTTCACAGCTCCACTACAGCACTCCACTACTCCACGACAACGAGGTTGAATGTCTAGAATTTCGGAAAGCGCTCTCGACGAGACGGTTTTCCGGCGCCACCAAGATCGGCATCGCCACTCTCTTTCTTCTGTGGAGAAATCGAGCTATGAAAATCAATCGCCCAGGGGTGGTGGTGTTGCGTGGCGGTGAGTTGTCTTTTGGGGGGGTGTTATCTTGCGTCATACACGGAATGGCCCCTGCAGGTGGATAACAGGAGGATAGCAAGGTTACAATTGAAGAGAGCAGACACGGGAGAGGCGGCAAGTAGTCCAAAGCTAGGTGCTTCACCCAGGAGACGTCATCACACGCTCTACTCTCCCGTTCGATACTGGTACCCCACTGGTACAGAAAGGCACGTGCCCAACAGGATCATGTGCCGTGTGGTTGGCGCCATTTTGGTAGGTATCCAGTTCGAATTTCAAAAAACGGGTGTTGTTGCTCACCTCGCCGTTTGGAGAAGTGCCACGATCTCCGCTCCCGTCGCGAAGACCACCATATTGCACAAAGCATCTGCCCCCAGATCCTGCAGCTGGTTCATCGAGGATTGTTGGCTACGTCGTGCGATGTCCTTGTGTAGTCTAAACAAGAACAGAGGGCTCGCGTGTGCCTGAAAAAAGGTACGCTGGAAAAAGAAATACACACACAGAAAGACTAGCAGCGCCGAACACCGACCCTTCCAGCCTGATACAAATACCACTTGGCCTTTCGAATTCGGTCGACGTGGACGTGTTGTAAATATGCGATGTGCACTGGGCTCGGCACTGGTCGTGTGTGCAACAAGAGTGCTGCGCTGGCCTCGAAACACACGCAGCAAAACAGCAAAACAGCAGCAGGGGGGCTCCGTGAGTAAAGGGCGAAAGACGTGGGAGTTCTACAAAATCGAAACACGCGTTGGTCTCAAGATGATGAAACGGTCACCGCATTGCCATCACACAAAACGGATCCGACCAAGATCCAATCCTTTGCAACTTGTCCGAAGCCGTCAGTTAGAGCAATCAAATTCGGTGAGAGGCACATGCAACATTGTTTGTAGATGCTGCTGACCAGTACGAGTGGCTGCGGTAGTGCTCGACGTTTTTGGGCCGCGTGTTGGAAAGGAAGAACAAAAGCAGAGCCAAGGAATGCGTGTCTGACAACTACATATATATGACCTTCGGTGCCTTCTGAGGTCAACTCGCATCTGAGCCACTCCTGGCGAAGCTCCCCCTGGATCTACGAACATGTTCGTTGGGGTCTCCTACTCAAATGAATAACGGCCAGGTGACTGACCTATCCTCTTGTACACTCCAGAGCGTCGTCAATGCCGTCGATGCCTTCGAGGAGGAAAAGGGGCTCGTCCTTTGCCACCTTCGACCGTCCGCATTTTCGAAGCTGATGCCGTTTTTCTCCGTGCCCCAAGGCTACTACGCGCTCGTCCAGCGCGGCGGAAAATTTGCCGACTACGGAGAAAGCGGAAGTCCCGTGTGGCCCCCGGGGCTTCACTTCGGCGCTCTCAAGCGGGTGAGCGAAAACGTCCGCTTGAACACAGGGTTGTGTTTCACCGGTCCGGTGGTGCTGACAGATATTCTTGAAAAAGGGGGTACTTACATGTACGCCGATACTGACACTTCTGTAGTCAAAGGTCAGGTGCACAGCCAACTACCGCCGTAGTTTGCGTAAGATATCACACCCCCTGGACCAATTTTCGGAGCTCGATATCTCGGCAGGAAAAGCAGTGACGGTGCCGGAAATGGTGTCGTTGGAACCGTCTCGTCGAGAGCTTTCTGAAAACGTATACTTCAATTCCGGCATCCTCTTCGTCGTGGAGAAATCGAGCTTTACAAATCGGTCCATGGGGTGTGATATCTCATGCAACCTACGGTAGTTGTGGGGACGCAAGGCGCTCGTAGGTATATTCTCTTTACTCTGGACTATACGGCACCACTAGACATTTTGCTTCATAGAAGAAGAGTACATGACCCGAACCCACATGAATGAAGAATGAAGCATCAACAGCGTGTTCGCTGTTGCCATTGTGACAAAACTTGGGTGCCCATCATCGAAACATCCCACCCGGACGGTGGTTATAATGACAGGTGGCATACCTGATCACCAAGCAGAGTATCGTGTATCACTGCAACGTCAAGCGCTGCATCACGCGCGACAACATCCCGATTCTAGTCCGGGCAACTCTGGTGCTGAGGGTAATGGGGGATGCCGAGAAAGGCGAGGACCCCTCTCTCGTTAGAAAGTTCGTGCACGAGGTCGGTGTTCGAGGCCTTGAAGCCCAGCTCGTCAACGCGGTGGTGAGAGGTTGGTCCCCGTGTTGTTCTGCCCGTGGCACTCCGTCCCTGGTGCGACGCATGGTCAACCGTCCGTTCGTAGTATAATTCTTACTTGAAAACCTGACCTTTAGACGCGCGCTTTGATCAACAAATGGTCTGGTTGTGGTATACTGTACGGGCGTAAGAAGAGCTGATCTTGTGAACATATACCTAAAGAGCCATGAGCTCCACGTTGAGGCTTTCGATGGATCATTTTCTCAACGGCAACGACAACGATGTTGCCTGTGTTATCTCGTTTGCCAGGCAGAAGCCATCCGCGTGATGGCAAGAGCTACGACGCATAAGGCCGTGTACGCTCTGATATCAGGACCAGATGCCGGCCGCGACCATCCCAGATCTCCCCCGACGCCGTCCACCGCCAACACCCCGGCATCTACCGCCGAGGAACACTCGGAACAGAACGGGGGAGCAGCAGCAACCTCGGTAGCACTGGAGCGGACACGACAGGGCTCGATCATAAAACGGGTGAAAGTCGCTCCGGATCCTTGTTCGGATGTGGAATCCCTCGCGGGGCGAGCGATGGCCACCGCTTCCACTATACCTGCCACGGCCGCAACCGCCGCCGAAAGCACCACCGCCGCCGCGGTCAGCCCCGGCACGACTACGGCGGTCGAGCGTGTGCAGGTAGAGCCTTCGCCGCCGATGCCCTCGCCGTTGCCGGCAATCCAGCGCGGCTTGCGCGCGAGCCGGATCTTCCCCTTGCCTGACGCTGCCGCAGCGACTCTAGGTCAAGACGAGGAAAGCCTCGGGGCACCGTTCCCGTTGGTGCTCGACGATCGCAGACGCGTCCATCCGTCGGAGGCGTTGTTGTCCGCGGTCTGTGGGGATGGAGGCCAAGACCCCCTCGAAGGTCTCGGTAGCGGCGGTTGTGGCGGCGGCGGCGGCGGCGGACCCCGAAAAGTCGCAGACGGAGGAGTTAAGGGGCGGATTCCGTCACGCCCGCCACCGGCTGCGACCAACTTGGACCTGACTTCGAGCCAGTCCGCGGTCTCGTCGGCCTCGACCCTGCCCCCGCTCGAGCTCGATGTTGCACCGCTGCCGTGCCTTTCCCCGACGCCCTGTAGCACCGCCGCGAAAGGTGAAACGACGTCCGGCGGCGGAGACGACGGCGATGCTGCTGTGGACATCGCCAATGAACAACACCGCCGACGTGGTGGTACTGAAGGGCGGCGGGCCTCTTCAACGGCGGGGGCAATGGCGGCGCAAGCCACGAAGGAGGAGCAAGACAGCAGCAACAGCAACAGCGATGATGACGACGCGTTTCTCGGGAGTCGACACGTCGACGAAGTCAGACACAGCCTCAACCGGACGTTCGCCCCTCAGGGGGTAGAGATCACAACCGTGATGATCCGCTCCGTGGAACTCCCGTCCCATATCGTGACCCAGATGTCCCGAAGGACCATGAACGCCTCCATCGCCGAGGAACAGCGGGCCGTGAAGAGGTCGGAGTCGCAGAAGGTTCGCCAGGAGGGCGAGTTCCTCGAGCTGAAGCAACTCTGCGAGATCGAGAGAGCGCTCGCCTTGAGGGAGGGGGACCGGGAAGTGGCAAAGGTATGTTGTCTATTGTTGTTGTTGTTGTTGTTTTTGTCTTCACAATACTATCGTTCTGGTCTCTGCTCAGTGCCGTCTAATACCCGTTCGGGTCCAGCTGACTGACGCGGACGCCTTCGTGGTCACAGGCCAAATACCCAAAGAACTCTGTGCACGCATCGAAAACGCGAATATTCGTGTCAACATCACTGGGGAGCACCGTTTCCGAGGGAACGATACAGACTCCCTTCTTCTTACTGGTGGACAAGATAGATACACTAAACATCGAATGCGTGCTTTCTTGTGGTACAACTTCTTTCCATGGGGTCTGGTGGCGGTCGTCGCATGCGATAGCAATAGCGCTTCTCGTGGTATCAACATCTCGGCAAATCCCCATCCCAAACAAAAGTGCAGACGACCCAACGGGCCCAATTCCCTCTTCTTCCCAGTCCAAGTTCGGACACACACCTAGAGACCCAACGAGCATCAGGTACAAAGAAAAGGACTGGCCACTATTTATGTATTAACAGGGGCACATTTTTGGCGAAAAATCCATGGTCGATCGGTGACGTCATGACGCAAAGACAGAAACTATACCCCCGCCGACACCTCCGCCGACACCCGCCCCCGTTCTCCGAAACAGGCCAAGGACAGGCTGCGGGGGCTCCGTGCCCGAGCGGAAGCCACCATGCGGGCCATTGCCGCAGAGTCCGCGTCCGCGGTTCAGCGACATGCGTCCGAGGCCCAGCGGGAGGTCTCGCGGACCCGCTTGGAGGAGATGTCGGTGACGGGCTCGAGGGCGTGTTTTTCGAGCAGGGTTGCCGGGGTAGCGGAAGCGGAGGCGGCCGCGTTTAGGACGCGGAGGGAGTCGGAGGCCCAACTCGAGGTGAGCTATGTTGATTGGCGGGGTGTGTAGCGGTTCGTTTTGGTTTGGATGAGACGGCGGGGCGATCGCGGCGTGGTGGGGCATGTGTCTTGCCGTGCCGAGTTGGAGGTTGTGTGGTTCCCGGTGTGTTCGGCTCCTTCGTGTTTGTTTAGAATGGGTAGCCTTTTTCCGCGAGGGAAAGGGACACACACCTTCGAGGCATTCGCCTGAAGATTTGCCAGACGCTTCTAAACTTTCGACCATTGTCGCCCAGTCCGTGTACGTACGTCGTCCGGCTAGACGATTCTTCTGTCCAAAGTCACCGATCGGAGCACCTACTTGTCTGCAGGGTAGTTTGCATGTTCCACGGTGTGAGTTTATCACCTACCCCCCCCCCCAATGTCCTTCACTCATTGGGCCTGCGACCAAAGAGAGGCACGGGGTTTGGGTTGGGGTTGCAGTTCAAACTTTAGCGGCCTACGGAGATGACATCTATATCTCCCCGACGTCCTGCCAGGACGATGTTACTCTCTATCGCAAGTCCTATAATTAAATAGAGCAGAACCAACGTACAATTTCGGGATTCATTTGCCAGTCGCTCTCAGTTGTTGTGCATCTCAGCGCCCCTCCCTGTTGTCGTGGGCACGCGTGCGTGCGTCTCGATGTCAAAAAGGTGGCGCAAAATTGTGCTCGTGCCCGGCGCCTGGTCGACAAAGCGGAGGGAGACGGGGCGCCGATGCTCCGGGCGGCACGGAACCATCTCATGCACGACAAGCGCCTCCAGGCGAGTGCAATAATCCCTCTGCCTCTTTGAATCTTACTATTTACTATAGAAAGACGCGAGTACCAGCAGAACACAAGCACGCACAGAACGCGTTCAAGCGGATACATTGAATTGTCTATTATTGTGTATTTTAGCTTACAAAGCGATGTACGTTTCAGGTACTTTCACCTCCTTTTACGACTCTACTGCCAAACCATCACCTCCATTTACAACTCTGTGTTGTTATCAAACCCTCCCACGATGCGATATTTGGCTCTGGCTAGGAACTTGGTGCATGAAGGAGGAATGAACGAAAATTCTTGCGTAGACTAATCAAAACTGGCGAAACCGGGCGACAGATGACCGGCACCGTACGCAAACTCAACGCCAGGGAAACCCGACGAGGAAAGGCGCGCCATGTACCGAAACCACCAACATCTCGGCGGGTCAACCCGATGCTAACCTAAACGTTTTCACCCCTCGCGCCCCACCACCCGTCCGTGCAGGTGCTTGGCTCCTTGTCAAACAACGACCTCGCTCTGGTCGTGTCCTCGCCGGTGATAACGTCGGCCGCCTCCTCGGAGGGGAGGAGGGACGGCGGGGGGTTCGCCACATCTCTCGCACCGAAGCAGACGGTGGACGCGCTGACGGCTCTCCTGCTGGCCGAGGAGGGCTTCAAGGCGCAGCAGGCTGTTGCCGTAGGGGTGGAGGAGGACAGGGTGTCGCCAAGGTCAAGAAGAAGAAGAGGTGGAAAAGGAAAGGCGCCGGCATCGTCGTCGCGGCCCCTGCTGCCTTCGTCCGTGGTAGAGCGTCGGCGGAGGATTGAGCTCGGGGCGCAGCTGGCGCTGGCGAGGGCTCTCGGTAGGTCACCCCGCGGGGCAGGACGTCGTCGGGACTGCTCTCCTTGGTCGCTCTCCTCCTTTTGCTCTTCGTTCGCGGTTAGACTCGACCCGAGACCCGCGCCGCCGAGGACCTCTTCTGGGAAGGACAAGGGGGGAGGAGGAGCGTCCCGCGAGGAGGGGGAGGAGGAGGAGGAGGAGGGTGGT